ATGCTACAAAGAGTACAGAGCACTATGTGGGAAAATACATCATTCCCTGAGGAATTCTAAGATAGTTATGTTCAATTCCTTTCAGGTTGCTTTTTTTTTTAGGAGAATGCCCCTTAAAGGAGTCAAGAGAACCAAATTACTATTCTACAGTATGACTCACATTAAGATTCCAATAAAAAGGCAAAAGTCTTTTTCTGGGTTGTGCTATAATATATACCCAAGCCCAGCTGTGTAACACATTTAAAGCCACTGGAACATATTTCTGCTTGCTATTAGCTTTGGGTACTCAGGATGACAATGATAAAGTTAATAACCAGAAGATCCCCAACTACTGGGGCCAGAGCCTATGGTTCTTGGATGTGGAACTGTGATTCAGGTGGCAGAACACCAGCCTTGAGCTGAAAATCTAAGGAAGAATATGAGGCTCTGAGTTGAAGGCCCCAATACCGGAACATATATTAAAAAACTCACAAAACTCTCAATGAAATGTATAACCTGTAGAAATAATAAATACAGTCTTGACAGAAAGAGAAGCCTTGTAGACCTAAACAATTATCTGAAATCACTGGGGAGGCCCATTTAGTTCTTTTTCATCTAATTGAACAATTGAAAAGGAATTGTTGCTTTTAAGATTTCATACAACTCTTTACTATATATATATATATGTATATATATATGTATATATATACATATTTTAAAAAGAAAAATAATTCACACAAAGAGATATATTTATATGAGCATGGTTTTTACATTTTGGAATGTCCAATGTATGATGAATTTGTCTACAAAAATACAAGCACATGAAAAGAGATTATCATTTTCTGCTGAGACGATCTTAAATGCGCTAGGTATGAATGCTATAATAATTACATTTACAGGCTTTCATAATCCTGTACTTTCCCTAGAGTGATGTTCAGCATTATCCAAGGATAAAAATGCAAACAAGTATATGTATATTTAATCATAAAGATTAACAGGTCAGGGAAGAAGGTGAGTGAAATGAACGTCTAACACTCCAAAGGTAACTACATAGTCTTGGTCTTCCCTAGTTATTTCCTCAACTTGTTTGTACTAGGACCTGAATATATTCATCAAAATTTCCTTTGCTACAGCAAACTTGTTGCATGGGAAGATGGGGATAATGTTCATCAGTGTGTAAAATCATACATTAAAAGGAATTTCATTTCCATGTTAAAAATCAGGAGGTGATTGGCACATACAGTAGCTATAGAGCTGGGAACTCGATACTATGGCTCTTGATGTTTTCATTCTACCTAAGGAAGAGTAACCTACAGACCATGAGCTTCTTTTTAGCTATACAACCTTGAGCTTTTATTAGACATTTCCTGAGTCACTATAGCTAACCTCAGATTGCTCAGCAAACTAAAATGAGAGGGATAAAGATACATTGAGATTTCCCCTTGTGATTATTTGATCTCAATTATTTCTCCAACTGAGATGATATCTTTTCAAACCAAGAATAGCACTTGCATTCATGTTGTGCTTTCATAAAACACTTTCACAAGTATTAGTTCTTCTCATGCTCAATACTGCCTTCCTGTAAAACAACCAAAGCATTGTCCCATTGAACAAATAAACTATACCAGTCAGTCTCAGAGCTCATGAATGACTTGCCCAAGATATCACAGTTTATTAGTCCATGTCAATATGGTTTGTGGGGTTTTGGTTGTTAGTGCTGATTTTACTTGATATACTGTTCTTTTATATAATTTGTAACTTGTAAGAAAATATTATATACTCTCAAGTCCTAATTGGAGATGCTTATAGTTTCCTTGTTTGTCTCCCTGATTTTCTAGCTATATGTTCATGAGCATCCTGTGTATATAATTAGTTATCTTCAAATAGTTGGACTTAACAAAGCAGTTTATAAACGCAGTGCACCTTTATTGGTGTTCGCCCCTTTCAATACTTTTCACTCAATCCACCTCTTCCCTTACTTTTCTTTTCTTTTCTTTTCTTTTCTTTTTTTATTGTGAGAATACTGTACAGAGGGGTTACAATTACATGGGCGAGATAATGAGTACATTTCTTATCAAGCATTGTAGCCTCCTCCTTTGTTTCCCCTTCCCATCCCTTCCCATCCTCCCTCCGCCTCCCCACCCAACCCTCCCCCCCACTACCAAAGTTGTAAAGTTCGTTTTCTACATGACAACTTGTACGTCTCATTTTGCAGTGGGTCCACCTGTATCCCTATTTAAACGACTTGTTTTTCCCCTTCCCCTCCATAAATTACTGTCCTTAATTTTGTAGTATATACAATGATTTCTTGACTCATTCTCTGTCACTTCCCCCTATAGTCTGTAACTTTTAAACCTTAAAGAAAGGCTCTCTAAGGCTTTCCCCATGTGGGAAGTTGGACTAGCAGCAGAACTCAGTCATAGATTCATTGTCAGGGTTAAGTTTTGTGTTTGTGATTGAACACTTAGCACTTCCTATGATACTTCCTATTGAACTTCCTATTGATCACTAATTGTATGAATAGTTTATTGTTTTTTCAATTTTTCAATTACCTTTAAGTATGCAAAGGAGTTACCATTTCACAAAGCAGCTGGTGAATATCTATTGATCAAGGTCCCCCCTTTCAACACTCTCACCCCTCCCTCCCCTACCCACACCTCTCCTTACTCTCTTTAATGTCATAGCATATACACTAGTAGTGTTTTGACGGAACTCTTCGTCTCTTCTTCTCTTCATTGTCTACTTCTTTTCCCTTGACACTACCTACTCCTTTCAAGCACCTACTTCTTAGTGTTTTATTTTGCCAGACTTTGACTGCTTTTCTAGGAAACTACACTATTTGAGTTCTCTCTTGAATCTACCTTATTTCAGGAAATATGTTTATATACCACTCAATGTATTCATTGATAGGTTTATAAGCTAAATCTAGCTTCCACTTAGAAGAGAAAACAAGCAGTCTTTGTCTCTTTGGGCCTGACTTACTTCACTTAATTTTTTCCAGGTTTCCCATTTCTTTACAATGGTACAATAACATTCTTCCTAATGGATAAGCAAAATTTCATTGTGTGTATATATACTACATTTTCTTGATCCATTCATCCACTGAGGGGCATCTTGGCTGATTCCATACCTTGCCTACAGTTGGAGATCATGTAGCTACAAATTAACATGTAGACATCCCATACATGTATTGAGACAACATACCTATGAAAAGCAAATATTATTGTAATGACAAATAAGGTAGTTCTGAAAAAATTAATTTTAGTTCTATAGCTTTTAGGAATAATAGTCTTCATTTCTAAAAATGTGTTGTAAACAACTGTCTGAAGTTATACACCTGAAACTTCCAAAGAAATACCAAGATACATTTCTTTTCCTTCTCTACCATCTTCAAAATATCTATTAGTCTATTGAAGGCCAGTCATAAATCCTGCATTTAGTTTGTCTGAAACCAACTCTAACAGCTGTATTTCCCACCAATCATTCTTTAGACCAGTTTTTTGTTTTTCAGACATGAGTGGGCACATCTTGGTCATATGGGACTGAGCATGTAAGTGGGGGAGCTATGCCTTCTTTAGAGAGTTATTCTATAGCTACTCTGATGCAAATCTCTTTCTAACATTTGGATATAACCTCTAAAATAATGTTTCCATCTAAATCAAATTAAACACTCCATTTTTTCCTTCTGATTTTCCTCTTCTGGATAAAGTACACAGATGAGAATACAGAAATAGAGACTTAGGAGTAGTTATAGTACTAATAAGGTGTGTGACCTTGAGCAAAACAGTTCAGCTCTCTGAATTTTTCCTTCATTGTCTATCAAATGAGGCACATGGACTTGCCTTTCCTTTAGGGAAAGATGCTGTGAAGAAGACATAGGTGACTAAGTTGTGCCTATTACCCACATGGGAATGTGGGACTTGTAGGGAAAGAAAAAAGACACTGTATCCTCAGTTAGTGAACAAAGGAAAAATATATTCTTTCTGAAATAGCCAGCTCTGTGGAGGATGGGATCTTACTGAGGTATACAAAAGAAAAGTGGGATTTCCAAGTCGATGAATGGAATTCTAGGCCAAGAATTGAGTGTAATGCTCAGTCTAGAAAAAAAATAAATAAATAGGATGTGTTGAGAATTGGGAATTGATCCAGAGAGGCTGAGACCTGTTGTATTTAATAAATTAAGTTATAAACACTAATTGCTCTTTGAAAACTGTATGCCTGGAATTTGATCATAGTAAGTACTCTTTCTGCTCTAGCTAAAACTTGGAATGAATGTCAGGTGAAGTTAATACCTTTGTCAAAGCAAAAGGCTTTGGTTGCCAATAAACAATTTTAAAAGTGCTAGTTCATCACAAAAAATCCAGATTACTCATATTTTTCAGGTATCTTACCTTAGGAAAGAAACATTTCTTACCCATACCATAGGTTTACATCTCTTGGATCAAATTTTATTGGAAGAGATGAGTCAAATATCAAGAGGGTAATGTGGAGCTATTTCTCACGTAGCAATTTGGTGGCCATCGAACTGCCCAGCAGCTGAGGGCATTAAGAGACAATGGAAGTTCACTAGGCTTTTTGCCTCTATCATCCAGAGGTCCACAGCAGCCTTCAGCAACAGCCACTACAACCCAAGACACGTTCCTGTTCTTGCCTGAGAGACTCAAAGCACTTGTCCCGAGGAGACCCAATGTCACATCCCACTGACACTGTGATTGATCAGTACATTTATTGTACTTTTAGTAGCCAAAATATATAGACTCCAGTCATCTCTGGAGATGCTGAAATAGTCTTTCTTTCCTTGATTTAAGGGAACATAGAGAGGGAAGATATGTGCAGAGTATGACATAAATATGAGCTCAAATATCTAATTAGTTGAAAGAATCTTGGTTCCTTGTGCACCTTTGACAGAATTGCAGCTGTCAGATTGTAGCTGCAATATTTTATGCTCGTTGTGAGATGTATCTGAGCATGATTTAGAAAATATGCTTTTTAATGTGAATGCCACTCTGATTTCTCTGCAGGATGCTTGAGGATGACCTGAAGCTGAGCAGTGATGAGGATGACCTTGAGCCTGTGAAGACCTTGACCACGCAGTGCACAGCTACTGAGCTGTACCAGGTAGGAGGAGCTTAGAGGCTGGATTTGGGCCTGGGGTGGGGGAATGCTATGCAAAAGGGACTGGACTGATTTTGACAAGTCTCCTCTCTTCTTTGTTTCTGTATAAGAGAAGGGAAGAGGCAAAGATGGGTATTCTGGAACAGGTCAAATAAGATCCCAGTTTCATTAGAAATAAGAAGTGGAGCTCTTTAGAAGTGCTTTCAACCCCTTCCCTGCCACTCTGCAGGCCATATATAAACACTGGCCATCTATAAGCAAGGGAGATTTTCTTTCTTTTTTTTTCCCCTCTTGTACTACTTACTGTCATTGGGTTAAATGTCATTTGCTGGCTCCAGTGTAAGGCTTAGAGCCCATATTCATTAATGTAGATATAAATGTGACTGTTCCATTCACTGTTCCCAGATGTACCACTTCACAGCAGAGCTGAAAATGAATAACCTACATCTTGCAGCTCACATGAACCTTCAGGCTGAAAGCATTTAGCAAAACTTCCTGTTGCCTTTGTCTTCTTCTGTCTTTCATTATAAGTATTTCCAGTGTTTCCTACCAAATCCTATGGCAGGACTGAGACTGAGCTTCTTGATTATGAAAGGCAGCATGCAGTATCAATGATACCTGTGTATTTTCTCTATGAAAATCATTCTCAAATGTAGGATCCTTCTAGGTGTACTTAGACCTTCAGAAAAAGAATAAAGAATTGCTTGCATTTTTTTGGTAATAGTAAAAACTTGCACTTTTTGCAAGTTGGATGCTGTATTAATGTCAAACACAGTGTGAGTGCAGACTGTACTGTGCTAGGCTAAGCCAATTTTGCAACTGTTTCCTAGGGACTTGCTGTGTATGCTTGCTAAAAATGAGCAGCCCACTTTTTACTTGAGTTGTCAGTGACATTGCACCAACTCCTCTAGGAATTGTTATTACAGGTCGCTAAAAGAATTCAGCCAAAGGATTCATATTGGTGCACAATTAACTCATATACACTGGTTGGAGTCCTTGCTTTCTCCTTTTCACCTCCTGTTCTACCCTGGAAAAAACTTTAAAGGCACTTTGGTGGTACTATCCTACCCTTGTTTCTCCTTCATATGCAAGTCATAAATAGGAAAGCAATAAGTATTTGAAGCTAATGTTGGAACTACAAATTACTGAATAGTGTAGGAATCACACAAAATGTTTACCATTAAGTAGGTGTAAACATAAAGAATGTAATGATGGGAGGGGGTAACAATGCTCAACAGGAAATGGGCTCATTACCTTGCTCATTTAACTGTAACCCCTCTGTACAGTATCTTTACAATAACAAATACATATATATTAGTAAAAAAAAAAGAGAATGCAATGATTTTCTTCTGAAAAAAATAATGGATATTAATGGCCTGGCTGGGATATGGTAGGGTCACATGATATTCATTAACATATGATTGAATTTTTACTTTTTAATCTGCCATTGTTGCAGGCATCATAGAAACATAAATCCACCCCTGATCTTTTCTATGCAACATTTAATGAATTGTCATTTTCAAGGAAGTCTTCCAAGTCAGGCAGTTGTTTTGTGATGACTACACTGACGTTTTGGCTAAAGAGTGGCTGGATTCAGGGGGTGGGGCTTCTTGGGAGTGGGAAATGTTGCATTCTCTGAATACACCTATCTTATAACACTGAACCTTATGTTTTTCTTATGGTGAAATTTTTCTTGTTATGTTTCTTGAGATTAAAGGAACCCCTAAAAATGGGGAGTTAAACCTGGAATCAATTTTCATTTATAGCTGAGAAGCAGTTATTGATGCTGTGCTTGCAGTTCAATAAAAGATCTAAAGATATAGACCTTGTGCTTTTCTTTCAATATATGTAGCCTAATCAGTCTCAAATGTTTTTTAAACAAAGAAATTGTATTGACAGATTTATTAAAATTGTTGTCTTTAAAGTTTTGAGCTATCTAAAATTTGACTTGTTCAAAAGACTTCTCACATATGTAGTGCCCAAACTGTAAAACTACCTCCCAGCAAATTTTCATATGACCAGGTAAAAATCTGCTTAAGTGTTTCATTGAATGAGATCATAATATTAGATTTACACAGCTCCAAGCAGAAGATGGTTTGCAGTGCGCAGGTGTGAACGCCCAGTCAGATAAGAGCATGGCTCTCTCGTGCCCTAGTCATTTCAGATTGACATTAAAAGCAGGGAGCTTAGAAAGAGAAAAGTCACAAAAACATAGATAATACTTGAAACTACCATTACGGCATGTTAATATTAAAAACACCTTTGTATTAATATGAATTAGACTAAAACCAGAGATGATTTAATTTCACCATTTAGAAGTTGAGAAAATCTTTTGTATGACTGGAAATGTTCAATTAGTAACCAAGCTTAGCCAAAGGAATTTAGATAAAGCTTGGTGTGGTAATTCAATGCTTTAAAACCAAAGTCAAGCAATTCAAAGTTTTAGTACAAAAGCGTTCTAATGTTTTGTTCTGGATATGACGGTATGTAGCTGTAGCTTCGTTGTATCCAAATTTATTTAGCTGCCTATTATCCTGATACTCTTTGAAATGTGTACTTAATTCAAAGCATACTACTAGAGATTTCCAACTGGAGGCTGGTGGCTGAGCCATACAACTGAATCATGTTCCATTTAAAGAAAAAACATTGCCTTCTAGTTCTTCCTCTTCACTTCACTGTTTTATTTCATTTTTATTGTCTGTAGATCTTTAACTACCTCACAAAACACATTTTAATCCAGGTTTTGGGCTTTGGTTTTATACATGAAACAACTGTGGGGTTTTTAGTGTTCCTGGTTGGTTGATTGTTGTTGCTGCTGTTGCTGTCCTTTTTGTCAGACCAGCGACTGATGTGTGTTACAAAACAGCTGAACACCTGAATATTCTGAAAGGTTTGAGATGTAATCCTTACATCTATGAAACACATTGGACTTTCAATTCATTAGACAAGCTTAATTGATAGTCGAAAGTTTTCTCATGAAAAAAATGCAATACATTATTTGGCTGCATATAAGCTGACTCTTTTCAAGTTGCTATCTTGTAGTGAATATATTAGTTGTGACTACAGATACCCTCCCCTGCTGTAAAGGTTCCTATTTTGTAGCTACCATTCTCCCTCATCACGCCAAACAAGTTGTTACTTCCCCAAGGTTTTGCCACATTTCCATTTACTTTGTTATCAGCAGAAAGGCTAGGGAAGGCCTCTTCAGTAATGACATCAATTTGGCACACACAGCAAGAGAGGTCAGCCTGTCAGAGCTAGAGAAACAGCAGATGGATTAGGATGAAAGCGGGGGCAAAACATCTTTGATAGAGTCTTTTAATGTAAACAGTTTATCTGTCATGGCTTTCATTGAAAACCCCCACAAAATGATAGCATTGGAGCTGTTAAGATTCCAGAATGTAACTGAACAAAATCCATACATTGTCATATTCAAACTGCCCAGTAATTAGAGGATGATAGGATATTTTAATTTATTCATTAAAGACAGAAAGTAAATAGGATAACATATAAGGTTAATAGAATAACATTGGCCTTCATATTCCCAAGACTGTGTTTTCCATTTGGCTGTATTAGCATAGAGTCCGTATTAATAAGATACTGCTTCAGGCTTGTACAATGTGATTTTTAATAATCTTGCAGCAAGTCTGTGACTATTCAGAAGTCTACATGCTGAATTACATCTTCTGCTTTTACTACCAAATAGTTTGACTTGTAATCTCTATATAATAGAATGCCTTGAGCATAGCATACCAAGATGCATAGGAGCCTAAATGTTTTTATGTGCTGTGTTTATCTCATAGTAATGTCCAAATACTGGCTAATGTCCACCACACTTTACGAATCATCCATCTGTGAGTATTTTGATTTTGTAAAGCCATGGACTCTTTTGCTTGGCTTAGCCCTTTTCTCCCCAGGACCTTATCAGATAACAGTGAAGGTGTATATAGAGAAACAAGAATGGGCGTGATCCATTATGTCTGAATAGATAAGTCTCACATATGACAGGGATGACCACACTCTTTTCATTCACGATGTGAACACAGCATATATTTGCCTTTTTGAAGATGACAGTAGTAGCAGTATCAGCCACCTGGAGGAACTAAGGGATGTCTCTCTACATTCTCATTTGAACTCAACTGCCAGAAAGAAGAAGCATTACCTTGTTGCCCTTTACACTGACCTTGAGCTGGAAGAAATAGCTACACATGATCCTCTCTCTAGTCTCACTGTACTCTGCTTGATCCAATCCTCGTTTTCTTTCTGTAGACCTCTTCAGTTCCTTACTATTGATTTTCATACATGGTTTAAATCTGGACGTTGCCTTTTAGAGTCATTAGTAAGCAAGCTCTGGAAAAATATACCATGTGTGCCTAAGTTTATTGGAAGCTTCTAATCTTTCGAGTTTAATCAGCATTCTAAAATATACTTACAGAAATATGCACATCTCCAGTAAATGCTGTGTAATAAAACACTTTTCTAAATTAAAAATGCATGAATTTTGGAATTTATATACTTTCTTTGAAAAATTTCCTGATGTTTTGGTTTAGGTGTCATGCTTGCCTTGCTCCCCCTACCCTAAATATCTACCGTCAGTGTGAAAAGCTACTGGACAGGCTTTAAACACCAAAGATCTTGTTCTGAATGAAAGCAGAATTTGCCTCATTCTTAAACAGTCACATTTACTTTTCTATTCATATATCAAGAGCAAAGAGAGTAAGCTTTGTAAGTAAACAGACAAGCTGTGCAAATTTGAGATTAACTATCAGTCTAGGATTGCCATTCAGAACACAAGTGGATAAGCAAATAATAGCAGAACTTGTTGGGCTCTGATGGCTCACACCTATAATCCTAGATACTAAGAAGGCTTAGATCTGAGGATTAAGGCTCAAAGACAATTCAGGCACAAAAGTCTGTGACACTTTTAACTGCAATTAACCAGTAAAAAGCAAGTGGACATATGGGTCAAGTGGTAAAGCACCAATCTTGGGCAAAAATGTCCA